AAAGTCTCATTTTAGCACAAAAATAAATACTAACACTTCATACGAAGGGTCTAATGATAAGAATTATTCTCATACACATTGTACACATTATTACACTCAATATAATCGTCATCAGAAGCTATATGCAAACATCAATATTTTGTGTAATTTCTATTACAAACAAGCATACATTTATACAAATTCTCATGCAAGCCTTGCATAGTTTCATGTACATTCATTTGATGTTTGGAACCAAGGAGTGTTATTCCTACACAAATAATACATATTACATCTAAGGCATATAATTTGAAGGGGGATCAATAGAAGTTCAAGTTCCCAATTTAACTCATGTTTTTTAATAAGGATGAATTTTATCTAATACAAATGAAATCAAATGGTACTTGAATAGTGGATACTTAAGGTACATTATTGAAGATAGAACTAACTTTGCATTTTTGGATTTAAATGATGATGGTTGTCACATTTGGCGATAATAATAAATAAAATTTATTAAATTCAGACTAGTATGTAAAAAAAATCACCATTAACATGATTAAATTCATTATTGCTTTAAATATAATTAAATTTTTATAAATTAATTATGTTATAATGGGTTAGAAGTTTCATTTTTGCACATCCTATTGTGTTATAAGAGAAAATATTTAACATTGCTTTACTAAGGAATGAGTTTGATAATTTATTATTATTTGATATGAAAATTAGAAGTAGTATAAATTTTATTTGTTTAAAATCCAACATAGGTTATGCTTGATTATGGCATAGAAGGTTATGCCATTCAAGCATGCTTACACTACAAAAAATTATAAAATTGAATTCTAGAGTTGGACAACAAATACTTAATTATGATTTTTATCATACTTATGATGCTTACATGAATGATAAACAAACTAAAAATTAATTAAGAGTAAGACTATTTTGATAAATACTAGAGCATTAGAGTTACTTCATAGATATCTATTTTGACCTATTAACACAATTAGCTTAAAAGTTAAAACTTCATTATGTTTTGCATTAGAGTAAAAATTTCATTATTATTTTGTGACGAGTTCGAATCGCATGTATTACTGTTTTGGCTCACCTTCCTAGCCAAAAAAAAATCCCCACCTATTGACTTGCCCCTAATTTCCATTTTAATCTTTAGTATTAAATAAGAAGCTTGTCTATGAAAAGTAAGAGACTGTATTTAAATCCTTCTATCTTCCAGGCTAAACAAGTAGGACCAAGCTTTTCTTCCCCTTTCATCTGGGAGTTGAATCATCTTGCAGAAAAGGTTGCCAGATCAGGTTCTCACCATTCTTGGCCACTTTTGGTGCTTCACTCTCCACATAACGCCCCCAGGTGACGAGATACAAGCCAAAGATGATCAGAACTCCACCAATAGCACTTGAATCACATCATGTAAGTTAGCATTAATAACTAAATTAATGCATATGCAAGCTTAATATAGAAATAAGAGAAAGCAGCACGGCAAAGTTAAGTTAATCCAGAATTCAATTCATGGGAATGGATGCAACCTTCCAAGGTAGATGGAGCTTCCGAGAAACATTGTTGACAGAAAGGCAGACATCGCGGGCTGAAGAGGATTGTATAACGCGACCAAAGCCGGTCCCAATATTTTGTTGGACCATGCTATTAAACTATAGTTGACGGAAGAAGAAAAAATTGCCTGGAAGTAAAAAAGCTGAACTGTTAGACAATTCAAATGTTTTGTGGTGATATCATCTGCCAATGTTACATTTAACTGAATATTTTCTGACAACACATTTCTTAATTTGGGGGAAGTTAGCTGGAGAATGAAATTGTTTAAAAATTAACGATTGGAAAGAACTATGATTATGGTCATTGCCACAATGATAAGTAGTATACCCAACCTTCGAATGACATGTACAGGTCATTGGTTAAGGATGGGCAAAAAGGGGAGTCTCATTGAAACATTTTTTAAGGTAGTTCAAAAAATTAAACAAAGCAGTATTCAGGATTCTACTTGCCCTTCAGATGACAATAAAGTGAAATAAAAATTCAGAAAACTATAACTTTTATCCCATCCACAAGTGCGAAAAGTACTGTATGACAGGAAATGTCTGGGTCTTTGCCAGGCCAAACTCACCATCGCCGGAGTCACCCCAGCAGCCCGCTCTCCCAATCAGTCGACCACCTGGGCCGGCCAACTCCACAAG